TCCTCCTGTAGTGAGAAAAATTCTTTTTTCAGTCTAGGTTAGGTAAAGCAAATTTACCATGTTCTTCTTTCTCAACAGGTGAACCCACTTAAATGCTCCCACTAATTTCATATTGTTCTCTTTGTGCTACTTTACTTAATGTGCTTCATTCCTAGAGTTTTGTGGACCGGTGGTGGTATTCACATCGTTTTGAGATCCCTCTACCACTGACCACCAACGAAAACAATGGGCATTAAATTCAAACTAATGCGGAATTATTCTATGAATGCCTTATTCTCCCCCCTTTCTTAATAAAAGTCGTCTCATTTCTTTATTTTTTAGAAAAAGTTTATACTGCGTTTTCATTACGCTCAAACTGGGAAGAGTCTGAAAAATTATTACAGTCCACTTTAAATAAAGAAAGGAATATTAAATTACTGCTAGATAATTCCAAATCTATTGGTAAGCGTAGGCTTTCTAAAATCATGCTTGCTTTAAAAAGAGCTGAGATCTTGCATCATTGTGTTTTGTTGAGTTTAAGCACTACATCACTTAACAATCCAAGTTGATTTAAACTAGCTATTCGGTCTATTCCTTGTCTAACTTTAAATCACAAATCCTGTTTGCTTTTTGTGCTGTAAGCTAAGCCAGCGGGCCTCAAACTTCTTCTGTACGCAATTTTTAGGGTCTTTTTATCACTTTTCCTATCCATTCCTGCCAATACCACATCTAGTACTGTCTTATGTATCAACCTGCAAGCCATGTGTTTACTCCATAACCCATTCAACCTTTTGTTTTATAAAAGGTTCAAGATTTCAAAATCGAGTATGTGTCGTTTTCGGGAGAATTTTACTCCATCCTTAGTTATAAAATTAACATTTTTAAAATTACATTCAAAGGAAATCGGCTACATAGACCACCTTTAGACTGGCTCACTTTTAGTGAGTAAAGGAAATGTGCTCTCTCAAAAACTTTTTATTGAATAGCATATTGATTGTGCCTTGCTGGAGCTGCCTTGGATTCCTAAACCTTCTACATATAAACCTTTAAGGTAATACAGCGCCAGGTCAACTGACAACTCATTCGGGTACGGGAAGCGAGGTGTCGATTCTGTCACAATACATTTGGCGCAGCAACGTTTGCCTATTTTTAGTTACCAAAAGTGCTAAATCTGCGATAAAAACGCTAAGGTTTGCAAAACATAAAAGTTAGGTGTTTTACCAAAAGATAGCAATACGATGGCTTTGTTGATGAAGTAACTTTCCTATTTTAGGTAAATTTTGTTTAATTCTAACTACGAGAATTTTTAATAACAAGTTTGGTAACAGGCTCCAAATCCCTATAAGAGCTTTTCTTTGGCTGCTGTGTAAATTCAATATACTTTTAGGACACTGTGGTTAGTTTTTGACTAATTAATCCTATCGAACCAATGGATCATAGGCCAATTCAGAGTTCTACCAACAGCGGATAATGTGATGCGTTGGTGTCTTTTTTAACCCCAGACTTTGGTAAAGGAACCGTTTAGGCTCTCCGCCATTGCACCTTCGTCGGGTAGGCTGGCCTATGAGCCATGTCAGTTGCCCCCAGCCGAAATTTATCCCAAACGCATATACATTCTGTCCGAGTATTATGTATTCCTTCGTCTTCAGAAAGGTGTCGGTACGTTGCATGTAAATATACCAGCTGCCGTTCAAATGGTCCTGTAGAGCGGAGTTCTTGCTTGTTTTAGAGCGAAATTTCTAAAAATTTGTTTTTAAGTCTCATTATAAGGATAAAATTTTGTTAGCCATTAAGTTACGCATAATTATCTTTCAGCTAATTATTTCATCACTGCGAAAAAATTGTGTCCAAAGTGCATTTTCTAGTCGAACGTAACCCATGGTTTGTCCCTAGGAGGATTGTTTATGCAATTTGGTCGGGCTTTAACGCTCACTATTAAATCAATGCACTTAAAAACCATACTAACTATGAGCCACTTGACATTTATAAAGGGCCAAAGAAAATGTCAACTTAAAATTGTAAGTCTACGAATAGGCCAGCAATTTTGGTGCCCTCGGTAGTTTATGCGCTAAAAAAGCAGCATTTTTCTATCTCTCTATTCTGCCTTCGTTCCAAAAGCTACGCTTTATTCATCATAGCTTTATAAACGTATGCTTCTCTAACAGATCTGCATCTATCACTTTCTGCTCTGAATCGCTTATCTTTAGTAGTATTCCTTCGTAAAGTTGAAGCTAATATATTTGTTTCGGTGTCCTTGCTCACTCATATTAAAGGTGGATTTTCAAAATTTCAACCGCAAAGTAGGCGTCTCTAAAAATTTATAAGTAATGCGCGCTTTGACCAAATTTTTGCTTATTTCGCAAATTTAAAGCAACTAGTAGAAGTAACCTCGTATTTTCAATCGATAGCTGACTAGAGAATCCCTAAAAATGGTAGCTGTTTTCAAACAAGTCAAGCTGTAATTTACTCTTACATCAGTAGACTTGGATACTGCGTTTGATTTATGACCCTATTATGCACAAAAAATACCGATTTAGGAAAATAACGGTAAAAAATGCTGCACAGGAAAATGTGAAATTAAATGCAGTGCTGATCTTGCCCCGTAAATTTCATTTGGCTTAATGTAGCTGCACTCGAAACAGAGCACGCTGCATATGTTAATTAATGATCCCCTTGTATTTTGAGATTTTCCTGTATTTTTTGTGATTTTTAAATTTCATTTACTTTCACTTAGCTAATTTTATCGTACAATCACATTAACTGCTTTTATCCATTGGGTGCATATAAAATGAGACGTTATTTACTTTTAGCGACTCATTTAGACACTTTGCCACCATTATTTCTGTTGAGATAGCATCTCGACAATTAGTGCTTTCTTTGCCAGTTACTTAAAAGTGTCAAGGAGCTGTTTCTTAATCTATGAATTTGTGGGACTCGTTTGTTTTAAAGGACAGTTAAGGCTACGGCATTAAAACATAAGACTCAGTCAGTATAATCCTGCACCACGGCTTTTTGGTCAATAGGGCGCGCACCGTTAAAGAGCTTGAATGACCATTTATCTTGCTTTATTTCGAGGAAAAATAAACCATTACAGTTCAGATTTTCTCATCTTATGATGATGTTATGCCGTTCAAAAGCGCTGATGCAATTAGTCTCATGCATTTTTTGCATTGCAAAGTCCACCAATCTATTTTCAACACAATTTGATGTGACCGATTGCCATAAATTGACAAGTAGCATCTGTTTGATGCTAATAGCTAAAGTGTTCAATTCACGGTAGTTGAGCTTGTTTTATTTTTTCTTGTTAGCTTTTGCCTCCTCCAAGTAAAATGATGGTAAAATGGGCGGTAGGTTTCTGTGAGACGATGGTGTATTTTATTATGTTCATTGTGGTTTCGCATTACCCAACGCTCTATTTGCACCAATAGGGCTCTCCGTAACTCAACCACTGCATGCTTTCAATGCTCCAAATCTTAAATCATAGTGCTATGCTTTTTAATTAAAAAAATGCAAGTAGGATTTACAACATACATTCTTTCTATCCTTTTTATTTCAAAGAATCGGCGTTATGTTCCGTCTTACCATATTATGCTATTTTTAAGTCATTTCACCCTTGGCTGTTTCAGAGTTTATAAATTCAGAATTGAAGACCCCTTTAAGGACCTTTTAAAAATATAACGGAACCGTGTTGTCTTTAACTTATCACTTAAAAATAAACTTGCCTATATTGTTGCACAAAATCTAGGATGTTAATGTTTAATTCCTCGAATGTTTGAGGTACTTTGAGAATTGTATTACTGCATACATGAAATAAATATCCCCCAGTCCTTATTTTACTTGCGCTTATTTCTCTCTCACAGGGCAGCAGAGGGTTAAGTCCAATTAGATAGTTCTACTTTTAAGAAGTATTTTAATGACTCAAGAGGCGATGTAAAAAGGTGATCGCCTTTAATCATACTAAAAGTGCTACCGCAATTTTAATGCAATCAATTACGAGGACGCTAGATTATGATCTGTCCAAATCACGTTGATTGAGATTAATGCGCTTGTGCAATACTCTTAGGAGCATTTGGCTGATTGACCAAGCTTTTATGAGAGGGTTAAATTTCCGTATAGAATGAAGTTAGGGCATATGTAAGTTCCAAAATGCTGCAGAATGCCCGAGGTTACACCCACTCAGACGGCCATTTATTTTGATTCCCTTGATGCCCCATAGAACGAGGGCATACTTCATATCCAAATTTATTTTCTTATATATTTAATCTCGATAGTTCTTCCACACTTTTCATGCGAAAGTAAGAATTTGCATAAAATTTGCCTGAAAGGCCATAGCTGAAAACCTACCCTAGTCCCATTTTGCTTAATATATAAGTATACCTTGAAATAAAGGATGAAAACTATTCTCTTCTCCGCGTTTCCTTATAGGAGGTAAATTTGTGGCAAAATTCTAACCTCTTGCGCAACATCACAATGTCTCTTAATGCATATAGTCCATAAAGTTTGGTATATTTTAGATGATTTGTAGAAACTCTCCTTCTAACATTTTGCTTATCCCTTCAAAATTTGCCAACATTATTTTAAAGTGATTTACATTCCTCATGTGAAAACACCTGATGAATAATTTATTCAAAATGCTTGAACAAAACGTCTCTTGAAAAGAAATTAACGCAAGAGCAGAGTTAAGAAAAGTCAGCTTTCTCCTCTCAGAAAATACTAATACGAGTTCCATCATTACATGCTGCGTAGCATAAGTCCGCTAACGATCTTCCTCCTGGAGCAACAAATTACATAACGAATCTTTAGAAGTCCATTTTCATCCTCTTTACAAAAATTATTTTGGAATAAGAAATATGAAAGCTCAACTTTAAAAGGCGTGTCATTTAACCTGGTTACCAGTTATCTTCCAATAAAGAACAATTTACGGAATTTCGTACATCCTTTGTGTTTTACTACCTTATTTCATTTTACATTTTCTTAGGTTAATCCATTAAATTACGCCACCGCAACCTCCAGTTGTGCCGATGAGCACACCCGCGGGGTTTCATGAATCAGGTTGGCACGTAGCTGCCACATGCTGGTACGATGAAAACGTAGTTTGACTAGTCATTTTGGAAATGAAATGTTCAAAGTCCCCTTTAATTACAGTTACGAAGCAGTGATTTCCTCTTAATGGAAATTTTAAAATTTAATCCGAAGTAAGTCAAGTTTAGGCCACAAAAAGTGCCCATTTTGAAATGCTTTCCTTAGCCACAGAAACAGCGCGCATTATTCTCCTCGTGCATGAACATTCAAAGAGAAATTAAAAGAGATGTGGTCTTTTCTTTGTTTAAATGAATAGCTTCGCCTTCCCATGTTGCCGAGGCCCGTGTTTGTTTATTTTTAACCGCCCATTAGGAAATCAAGGTGATTTATGCACTACTTTATTCGCCTTACTGTTCTTTTGCAATGATTTAGACAAGTTTTTGAAAAGCGTATCCTTCATTGTTTATTATTTAATAATTAGGTCAAATGGTTTACGCTTAAAATAAGACCCCAAAAATACCTTAACACTAACATGGAGTGAGGAAAATTGGCGGGACTTTTCTCCGCAACTTATCAATATATTTAATAGCTGTATTAAAGCACTCATGTTTTATAACTCTATGGTTCATTTAGTCATGCCTTTTTGAGCCTCTCTCAATAACAAAGCATTTTTTATTTAGAATATATGTACTTTAATTATTGGGCCCTCGTCCTATACTAATATTAAGACATTGAGGAATGCTCTTTAAATTGGGAAACAAATAATCACAGGTGGTGAGATTATCTTAATTCTCACTTTTGGAGAAGTTAACGAGTTTTTTAGGAATCTCGAGAAGTCCCTTAAACGTTTCGAAGTTTTTGTTTATCACTTTCGCTACTGATAGAGAATCGATGTCTGCAAATTTTTTCGAGGTAGTAGATGTACTCACGTGTGAATGTCAGTTTTTTTGTGCAACAATTTTGCAAACATTTTGACTTACGCACCACAGACTGACAATATGTAAATCTGACATGTGACTAAGTCTTGTCATCAAGTTCTTCGACGGAAGTATTTCACTACCCTTATTATTAAGGGATTTATGTGCTATTTGGAGAGACGCAATGTAATTATACAATAGTATAATCCTTCTTTACTTTAAAAATTGTCCTTCAACTATTTCCCACAGCACGTAGATTTTATGGAAAATAATGAAAAGAACTAAAATGGTTTACTTCCACTTGTTAATTTTGTTTATTTTAGTCCAGGTATCCCTTTTCATAAAAGTTTACAAACCATGCCTCGGAAATAACATGTATTTTTTAATAGCGGCTTGAAGATGCGAGGTATTTATTATCTGACTCGGTGACTGTGCATGAATGTACAATCGCCGTGCATCCGCCAGGCTATCGACCGCAGAAATTGTGGATTTTGTGCCCATCATCAGCGTGTGGCTGGTTTTACATCTACTTTTTGTGTTCATCTTTGCTTTTACCTCGAGATTTTGCCAGGGTGACCAGCAGGTCTGAGGCATTTGGTCGTGGTCATCATTAACAATTGCTGACCACAATGAACCGCTGTTATGTTGTGTGGGCAGTGGCTCCACTGCAGCCTATGTAGTGCCTGCCGTGCTCCTTCATAGTGCTTGTGTACTTTTGCATTTTTCTTCCTACTAGCCACGTCTTAAAGACGTTTTACTGGGTAACGCGATGGGAGAGTAGGTTGATTCACTAAGATGGTATTGTCACATACCACTAAATTACCGTTTTTAAATCGAGATGTATCTTATTAAGGGGTATTTACCTGTTTAAACTATTTGAACCAACACCCCCCACTCGACTTTTAAATTAATTACGGTCATTTTATCCGAAGAGCTCTAAAGGTAAATAATCCTTAAATCCTCATAATGATTCAAAATTACTTTAAAGGCCCGCTACAGAAGTCTACTGGATCAGTTAATGATTTAAGAGGAAATTCGGTAGTTTTGTGTGTGGGATTTTCTTTGAACTTGGATTTATTAGTTTCTCGTAGACCTCTTAGTAAGCTACCATCGGAAAAGAAAAGTATTTCCATCAAACAACAAATATCAGTTTTGCCACAATCATTTCAACTTTTCTAATGGACTCAATCTCGACTGTTTGTGAGGCATAAAATTATTCCTTGCAGAATACCAATAAACTATTTTAAGAATTATACTATTTTCAACTGCTAAGCTGCCTTTTCTTATACTAATTTTCTGTTTAAAACTCGATAAGGCTCTTTTGAGCAGTTATTCGAATAGAGTCGCGCACTCATTTAAGTAAAGTCGCGAAACCGCAGCTTTACCATAAGTAACTTCTACATTCTCTTTATGGTCTCTTTTGTCAAGCATTAAAACTAGAGGGACTGTAAATGTAAAAAGCATCTTCTCGTTTGTCATTTTTTATTTCTTAAGAAGCTTTTATGGCAAGTTGTACGAAAATGCTTTTTGCTGTTTCAGTTATTAGCGCAACAAATTACCATGTATTTGTTAGATTCTCTAATTAAGAAAGTTGCTCCGAATTTAGTGAGTTTCTTGAAATTTACATGGAAAGCAGCGCTTAGTGGTAAGAGAAGGATGTGCCATTTCTTAAAGTGAATAAAATTTGATCTTGTAAAAGCCTTTCAACTCGAAGTGGGTCATACTTTTTGAAGACACTTTAAGCCATAAACACGATTCCGGTTTAAACGTTTTATTAACACTTGGTAATCCAATGTACAGATGCATGCTCTTAGCTAAAGTCGTAAAAATCAAATGAGTCTTTTTAATTTTGCAAATCCTAACTGTTTAAAGCACAGGTAACAATAGCTACTATTATTTGTAATCGATTAGCCTGTCCACCATAGCAGCACCCAAGGTCCTTAGTTAGCTTCAGTAATGATACCCCTGCCTACAAAAAAGTTTACTTTTAGTCCTGTTGTCGTATGTTTAGTCAGACTATGTGCACCAAATCGATTCAAAGGTGTCTACTTTCAAAAAGGTAGTAGCATGTGGAGCTTTAAACAGCGAGTATACATTTATGATGATGTTTGGCGTGCCACCGAAATCTGCATCAAAATCTACTTAGCGTTATGGTCGATTCGCTTACAATATGTCGCATAACAATTTGGGACGAAACCTAAGGCACAAAAAAGCAAAGCCATTGTTGGAAATTTGAATTATGAGTTCCACTAATAGCAATGCAAGCAACCAATTTTAACAGATTGATCAAATTAACTTTTTCGCACTGAAAAGAATCCCAGTTTGTGAATTTCAACTGCTCCCCTCAGCCTGTCCTTAATGTTTCCGAGCAATTTCTTGTTGAGTTGTAACAGCTTTTTGCTTAACTACTTTCGCTTCCGAAGCATTTCATCACTTGTCGTTTCAGGAAGTAACATGTCATACTTGGAATCTTAAAAAAATTGGTACAGTATCCAACACTTGGAATGTTGACGAATAAGTACAGTAGCGACAGACCATTAGCTCTATCATACAGCGCGTGTGGTGGCTACAGTAGCCTTATATGGTGACCTTGTCAACGATTTACTGTTTCCATACCATCTAATTTACATATTCACCTGTGTAAAGGGTTCTACGCCAGTCCTGTGGTATAGGCAGAAATTTTCGGCAATAGCTACTTAAAAAACAGTCGTTGTTAACGAAGCTTTTTGGAAAGTTTTCAAATTATGATTTTAAGTCCATCTTTAACATAGATATTAGGTGTCCCTTTACTTACCAGCTTTAGAATTTAATCCTTTTGGTTTTTCAAAATTTTAAACCTATGGTTGAAATAATACAATACAAATAAAAGTAACATGTGAATACTTGCTGGGAAAAACCCATTCCACTTACTCGTGATGTTATTACAACTGGACATAGGAGCATTTCGTATAAGGTTTTGCAATTTATGTGGTGTTCATGTTTCAGTACTCTTCCAACTATCTCTAAAGATTGTTAAAAATTGGTTTAGGGAACCCTAAATATTTCAAATAGTAAAGCCTATGTGGTGTGACGACAAATAAATTCTACCATCGAAGGCACTGAACTGAAAGAGACTGAACAGGCTGGCGTCTTGATGGCTGTTATTACAGCAAACATTATTTTCTGTATTATTACGTCGCAGGTAATATATATTTAAGATATATGATACCCAGCTTGCATATGAATGTAGTATTCAGTAATTCAACGGATGGCAATGTGTTAATCATCCACATCCGCGTGTTTTTGTAACCACTATTTCATGACATCGAAAAGTTCTTTCAGAATTTCACTGTCATCGCTATATAAGTATTTGTACTTCAAACAATTAATGAGGTTGATAGCTAAACTAAATTTCACAGATTGAACTCCCAATCTCACAGAAAAAAACAGCATGGTTTAGGAATGGTGTTCCTTTTCGGACAAAGGTGGATATGATTGCATTAATTTTGAGGAATTCACACAGTTTGGATGAAAAAGCTGCATCCCCAAAAACAGGTTGCTTGTCAACAAGGTCTTTTCTTAATTAATTAATTTATTAAGATTCGGGCCCGCAGTATGACCATGTTATGAGAAAGTTAAAAGTCATGGTGACTTAATTTTTTTTATCCATTGGATAAGTAAATTTACTTGTAGTCAAAAATTGTAGAATTATTGGTACACACTTTGAAGTTATTTACCTTCATCTGTGTAGTGGTGCTAATGCATTATCCGAAGGATCCCTTATTTTAACATTAACCGCGGTTCTCCATTTAGCAACATTTACGTCCGTCATCCACATTTTGACCATGATCATTGTATAGTTGTATTGTAATTTTATTAATGTGGGCTAATTTTTAGTTTAACGTTAATTGGAGTTTTTCAAAATGCGAATTTTTTCTGATCACTAATGCCAATAGTCATGCTCAAGTCGTTTTGCGTAGAAGCACGGCCATAAATATTCACCTTCACCTTTAAAATGTTCAATAAATGGGGTGCATTAATATTTGTCGATGCTTGCAAGCATTTTAGCTGCAAAAAAGATTTGCTGCGATTTCCGAGTGTGACATTTGCTTCCCACGTATCCATTTTATTTGCCTTTTGGCAAATTTATTGCATATTAAATGTCGAATTTTTGTTTTCCCTCTCACTACTGCGTCAACTTTTCCCAAAACACTGTCTATAAGTGGCATACCGATGCTAACTGAAGTAGGCAAAACGACTTGCCGCCCCAAATATCAAACGGAAATTACAAAGACATCATATGCCAAACAAAGCTCGGGCATGTTTATTGTGCACAAAATTCTTCAGAAGGGCTCTTTAACCTCTTAAATAATGTTGTAGACTCCAATTAATGTTGTTCCTTAACTTTTTACATGGTTTATTCCAAAATCCGGTATAGGTAGCTTTCACTTTAAACCTGAAACATTGTTATTCCATCTATACCTTTTTATTGGTTTAATGTTACTAATTAGGGTAGTTACTTGACTTAACCGATGAAAATGAAGCATGGTCATTGCCAAAACCGTTTTGCTTAAGACTTAGTTTTAACAGTGCTGTGCTAAGTTTTGAAGGAGGTATTTTTTATTTTAGTATTTTGGTCCTACTAATCATCAAAGTGCATTCCAGGAATGTTCGTAACACAACACCACTCCACATTAATTACAGCGTCTTACCTTCTTGAAATAGAAGCTGGCATGTTTTCCAAAAACCGAGTTATGTACATTTTGCATACGCTGACTTTTGTCAAATGAAACCTTTATAGCACATGATTGTGGCTAATCTTTATCGATTCTGATAAAACATTTAAATGCTTTCTTCTGTTTATTGTGCATTGTAGTCAAAGGTTGTTTATTTTTGTTTTTGGATGTCTTTTCTCGGCTTTTATTACTTGAGCTGAGTCCCTCTTCTCTTGGTACAAAAAATTCCTAAGGATTCGCCTGTAGTGAATTTAGTTTTGTACTGTTAGGCCTTGTGCATTTTAGACATTAAGAGTCACATGAAGGCCTGGCCCTGGTTCATCCTCTGAGGTCAACTTCAATGCGATGTCACTAACCTCCTCCCCATTTCCTACCCCCGATTCCACCTGTCGTACCGGACATGTCACTAATGTCAAATGAGAGCTATTTCAATTGCTTATTCTAGCATTTTAATGCATGCTTTTGCTGAACTCTGGAGTCGCTTATTTGACCAAGTTGTCGTTCGTATTTTACGATTGTCTTAACAAAATGACCTGGGGCATATCATATGGGAGCAGGTATATTTAATATGATAGTCAAACAAAATTTTGTACAAATGGTTGGGTCATTTACTGCTTAGGGATAAGCTTCGAAAAGTGTGCTGTTTCTAGCGTTACTATCAAAGTACCTTTAGTTCATTGATTGTAATATCTAGGGAAGTTCTGCCTAAAAATGAATAACGTCCTAAATTTTAGCGGATTGTTTTTGGGCGTAGCACGTCTATCCTGCAGCGCATATGATGAATTATCTATCACCCCCAATACCATTGACCTTTCTATGTTTATTTCCTATAGAATATTCGCGATTTTTGCACTGTCCAAGTACATTGCTTTAGTATATTGATTCAATGAATAAATTTCGTTCCTTCATATCCTTTTACGATGCTAATTCTTTTAAATGCGGGGGTGTACATTTGTTTTCCTCGATTTGGCTTAAATATCCGCATTTGCATGGGTCCATTTAAATATTGCTATAGTCGGGATTGCATCTGCTAAAACCAATTGGTCCATATGTTTATGGTGGGAATCACTTAATTTCCTAGACGATGTTTTCCTTCCAGTCCCGACTTTTCTAAGTTGACGCCTGGAAGCTGGCTTTGTTTAAAAGGGAATGTTCACAATGCATATTTTATCATAATGGTCACGTAGGAGTTCCTCAGCTTTAACAGCGTAGCCTATTCTTACAATCTGTTCGTGTATTTTAAGAGCTTAATGGGCCTTAGATAAAATGACCAATTTCAAGTTTGTATTTAAAAAGCTCTTTCTTAGATTTAAAAGAGAACTTAAGTGAAAGGTGTTTCGTTTTCCTGTTAAAAATCTTATCTTTATCTTCTCTGCGTAAAGACAATATTTATTTTACACTGGATTATTATAAAGTACGTAACTTGAGTGCGTTGTTTCGTGTTATAGCTCCGATCATAGGGTTGTATTTCCGCCGGAAATTCTGCAGTACAAACCGTTATAAATTAAGCATCGTCTAGTACTTCTTATCAGGTGGTAATCTGTCATTGTAAAAAATGAAAATTTTTGCAATGAAGCCTTAATTCGTGAAGGTGGTAAGGTTGATTTGCCTACATGCTCATTATTTTAGAGGTAGTAAAACGTAATTTAAATGACGTCGTTTAAATTTATGGGAGGAATTACCCGCTTTCACTTTTTCCCATCCCACTAATAAGTATGTGAAGGTAAAGTTGAGGAGCTAAAATTTTTGTGTATGCAATTTTTGCACAGCGTTGAAAATTCCAGAGCGTGACTTTTTCAAGATCGTACCATTTTGTCGAAAGGGACTTTTCGAGCCTCAAAGGCAGCAAGTTGGCTTACAGAGTTACAGATAACTATGTTCACAAAGGCTTTTCTTTTATAATAACCTGCCTATACTTATAGGTAGTCTTATTTAAATATCAATCGATTGGGATTAAAATGACATTTGGGTAGGCACAGACATAATACTGTGCTCTTAACGCCTTAATAATTTCGTGTAAGATCAGCAAGAATCCTTTTACACTAGGATATCAAAATCATCGATTGGGTGGGTGCTACGTCGGTGGAGGCTCCAAAGTTTGCATACACAAAATGCGCAGTTGGCTCTTTGCTCTCAGGCGTCCTTGAAGCAGCAAAGTGGTGCACGTCACCTTGTTGTGAAAATATTGTCATGGGGCTGATCAAGTCATGCTTGAGTTATGAGTTTCACAAAAACACGTGATAGGGGTGTCCTTGGTCTTGCAAACACTTTTTCTATTTCATCAGCTTCAGTTGCAAAACCCACCAATTGATGAAATACAGATGTCTCACTAATCCGATGTCAGTAGATTATGCTGAGTGGAACTGCGTTTATTGATAGGGCAACTTGGTTGTTGTATCATGCTTAGCCTTATCATGTCTCTTTACAAAACGGTGGCAATATTCTGATATTTTAACTGATCCCTCTAGCCTAATTATAATAAGATTGACATGGCACATGTTTACTTTTTCCTAAATCATTTACCTTCATGTACTCCACCCTTGTTAATGATTTGGAGCCAAACGATTCCAGTGTTTGCTTTGGCGCTTGATATGGGAGTTTTTATTGAAGTCTTAAAATGTATAGTTAAATCGACTGCACTCAAAGCACAACTCCCAAATGCACCAAGCTAACCAAGCCAAGCACATTGAGAATTTGACACCTTTTGCTATTTACAAATTTCTGTTCACATTAATCTTTGTGAGCATCTGGTTTGTCTGTTTGGAGTCTGTAAATATTTGTAAACGGATGGGTTCCTTGTGATGTCATATATTTTTAAATGCTGTACCATAATTTATTAAAAAGTCTATATGTCATTGTCTCTGACTGTCATTGCACAAGTTATAAACTTACACAAGTAGTTAAGTAACTAATGACTGCCATCACCTCTAAGCGATTAAATTTTATCAGTAGTCGTTTTGTGATACTCTAGTTACAGTTCAACAGCTTTAAGTTATCTTAACGGATATGTCCTTACCAGAATATGAGATAGCGGAATTTACCTCGTAATTCTGTAAATTTCTCACCAACTGAGACTTAGTGCAACTATCCCTAATATCATTGCTTGAACTCTTTCAAAGGCGTGTGAATGAAAACAACACATACTTCGTACTTCGCACAAAAAGTGCATTTTCTCTCAGCAATTTCCCGTAACCGTGCAATACAAGTAGATGTGTGACTAAATCTTAGTCAGTGTGAAATATTTTTGAACTATTAAATGTATGACTGCCGCCTTTAGGCATAAAACGGAATGTAGTCGTATTGGCATTACCTTACATACCTTTAGGAAGAGGTCACGTTTTAGGTGAATCGCCTCTGCTCTTCTATGCTATTGGTGGAATATTATCTTATTTTACACGGCAGATACCTATAAATCATGCAAATAAATGATTATTTCAATTAACATTCGACACCTAATGGTTTTTTATTTAAACATTCAGAGGTTACGCCATGTAAACATGGTTCACTCTGCTGATAAATGGGAAAGTGTAAAAATTACAAAGAACTGCAAATATTTACTCGCAGGGAAGCAGAATTGCTTAACTGCTCGATTTCAGCTAATTTTTACACAGGCAATGCTGAATTCACCATGATTTTGTACCTTAGAATGTTTCACCTAAAGAATGCTGCTCTCATGGAACAAATGACTAGAATGATAGGTTAGGATTTGCAAAGACACTTCATCACATGACCCTACGCTCATTTCAGATGCTGTATTTCACCACTTATTCTAACTCATTTTTGGAGAAAATACTACAGTTGATGGTGTTGCATATCTTGCTTTTGTCTCCGGTGGCAAATGAGTAATTTTTCACCAATTGTTACTTTTTATTGTGTTCCACCATTAACGCAAACTCTTGAATAAAGAATTTTAACATGCAGACCGATGAGGACATCGAGGAGCTGTATATCTCCTGAAGTTGAAGTACCACTATTGGGCTATCTCTAGTTTCTGATGAGAATAACACCTCCAGACCACTGAAAAGGAGGTGAGTACGTAGCCCTGTGTCAGTAGTCACAAATTCCGTAAGCAATTCGCATGCGAATTTTCCAGAAAGGGACTTAACTACTTCAGGCACATGCGCACACGCACGCACAGATGCACACGACTAAGACCAATCAGGTAAAAGACTAGTGCGTGCTAAGCCAATTCTGGTGGAAATTCGACCCTTGTATGGGTGTATTTTGTTTAAAATTGCCTAGTGGCACACACTTGCACCTATCTCTTACGAGCTATGTCTGCCACCTCGTCGTACCGTTCGGAGATTAGTATTCCGGTAAAAAAGGATCCGCGCACCTTTGAGCAGAGCCGCAAGGATCTGGTGACCAAGTTAGAAAAGAGCTACAAATCCTCCTCCACCAAAGACACAGGCGGAGACACTATTTCTAGCGTTTCTTCTCAAAGTGTCAAATCGGAAACTCGAAGCAGTGGAGGTAGACCCCTCACAGACGGGTCTTCCTGGGAATTTCAGCGAAGCCGATGGATTGATGAAGCTAAGCGACAGTTTGATGATGATGTTCGCCGCATGAGGAGCAATATGTTCGCTCTAGAGGTTGGTTGCAGTTTTAAACCCCTTCTACTATTGTACTATTGATTGCAAAACAATCCTGCTTCTTAAAAGTGGAGCATGTTTTCATGCTGAAATGCCGCAGTAATACACCAGGTTATATTCTAGATTTCAACTCTCTAATAAGCATATGCTTGCAGCTTTTTCTTATTTCAAATAACAAGGTAACATATTTTTAATTAAAGCATTATGGCAGGCTGCTATTTACTACCAGTCTTCTTTCATTTCCTCCAAATATTGACCTATGGTTTCTCTGTGTATTCAAGGCACGCACCTGCCATGCTAGCACTGATTCTTCCTCACAGACACCAACGCCTGCGTACACGATTTGCAAATCGAATGTGCATTTTAGAGTAGTTCATCAGACATAGCCTGGGCGTGTGGGTGAGTTGTCAGCACCAAACGCACAGTTCTCGTGAGTTTGTGGTTTACAGCCAAGAAAACTCCAAAATCCATGTCTCTATTCTAGACGAACCTATTTGGTATTTTCCACTAACCTGGATTTCTGTACGCAAAGGGGAATTACAAGTCTATCAACGACATCTTTACCTCTCTTATGTAATAAGTTACATATTGAGTGTGGTATTTTTATCCTGTCCTTTCTATCACCCTTGTGCACGAGGCATCTGGCATTTCCTCCATATATCGATCACCCAGGCTTGACCCACGCAGTCACCGCGTTGACTAGATGGCGCTTTTAAGTGGGATCTGTAGTACATCTTTTGCCAATCCCTGCTATTTTAGTCAATGAACCCCGTAGGCATAAAATTTGCTTTAATCTTCCAATTGTTACACATGCTTGCCAAGCTTGATAGCAGAAGTTTAGATGGTCCATTGTGAAAAAAGTTGACCTTTCTTCTCGATTGTAAAAAAAACGGCTATTACACTTTATTTGCTCAAGCAGGCGCAGCTGAATAGAGTAAGTGCGTCATTAATTGGTAAAATCATTATTGTAGTTCTCACCTTCCTTTACCATTTCATTACTTATAAAAAGAATATTTTTCCGAAATGATTTTTAAATTATTAGAAAATTTCCGATTAATTAAAGCAAAGTGGGTCTTACTCTAGAAGTACTTCTTAGATGCTCTACGTAACTTTCGTAATAAGAGGAAGGCAGTACTGGTCGCTCCACCTACTTTCATATTCATTTTTCGACTTTATTATTACTTTTACTTGATTAAACTTTGCGTGACTTCACTTGCTAATAAAATCAGATTTAGGCTATCCGACGAATGTGGCCAATTATAATGGGGCTATTTTGTGGTTTGTCATGCAGTTTTCTCAAAAAGAAAGACCAGTTTTTCATCTAATGTTCAAATGGTGTAATTGCTTGATGTAACTGTCAGACAGTAGTATTACCGCAGTATATTTGAATAATATGTGAGTTATTCATGTGTCATGACTAGTTTTGCACCGCTTTCATTGATGCGTATTGAAATGTAAACCTTCTAACGAAAACATCAATTCGAATTGCTACCAATCCAAAGCCTGAGATCTATTACTTTACGAGCTACAAAATAACATTTTGTTAACCATCTTTTAGCGAACTCGGGTAAGTTCTTATTAATGTGTGGTCTTGGAACTGACTCAAAATTTTATCGCTAATACTCTTGTGTGAACTAACCGTTCTGCATGGCTACGGTAAACTATCACAATTTGTTTACCATTTTCGCGACAAATTGTTGCCTTTTTACTAATATAAAGCAAACATAATTGCAAAAGCCTACCAAAAGCCTTGGTACTTGTACGAAATCGTATTGATAACAATTTTGGGGGAAGATTTAGTGCTAAAGGGATGCAATTACGGAGTGGTTCAGTTATCACTTGTAACGGTTTTGAAAGTAGAGTGATTTGTTTTTCAGTATTTTATTCCAATTTGGAAGTATTTTTAAACATTTCAAAATTTATGGTGCTGAGTCGCAAAAAAATTTCGTTATCGCTGGTTCCTCCTCATGGCTTTCAGCCTGCAATCTTGCATGTGGACTGTTAGATATAAAAGTAGTTTCGTGTTACTTATATTACTTATTTCATGTTTTATAGCTAAGCATCCCCTGTAACTATTCCTCCTTTGAAGAGCAGTTTGGGCAACTGATTATTTAATGTAAAGGCCAATCTAGATTGATCGAAATCATAGCATGGGAAATATTTCATTGGCCTGTAAATATCGTACACAAGCACTTTGGAGTTTGTGCCACTTGAAATAAAATAGTAACTCTCACTCCATAAAATTATTATAAGTAATGTTTATGCGAATGACTCTTGTGCATTGTAACCGCAGTAGAGTCATCAATTGATGCAAATTGCAACAATCCTTGTAACTCGATCATTTTACGTTTGGTCAGACAGATACACCCCAGCTAACCCACTGGAATGAGCACTTGCATGAAAAAGATCTATTTTTGTTACTTGAAGTTGCTTTCAGCATTATTTTCTTTAATGAACATTTAGGTGTAGTGTCTGCTATGGGTAGTCAACGAGCGTGGGACTTAATCATCTATTTTGAAATGGCTGGGTTGAGCTAAAAGGCATTTGGCGGTGCATAATTAAAAGATCAAAAGGCTTTCAATGTGCGTGCAGATTTGCCATTCAGTCTGTTTATCCTCGGCTCAGTTTACAAATTATATTGACTTCGCCTACTTTTCTATCAAATGGAAATTCAATTATTGTTTTCCGAAGAGATCAGAGCATAAATTCAAAATGAAGCAGACTTTCATTGGAGTTGTCAAACTGTGGCATCTCGCCAACACTTTTAATGTACATAAATAATAGAAAGATCTGAGATAGGATGGGTAAGCTATAAAATCAAAATAGGAAAAATTATTGGGATAAAATGAAGCATGTCATTTATACCCTCACATATGACTCCAGATTCGGGAGTGAGTAGAGCGGTTTACATCGGTCTCTCCCTTCTTTTTTCCGCATTTAACCTCTCAGCCAGTAGACGAGTTTGATTTGGAGAATTGGGACAACTTTGGCAGCCTGAGGGGTGGTCTAGGTGGTGCGGACCATGGGTTTGAGGCGATGGAGCGCCGAATGCAGGCAATGCGTCAGCAGATGGACAATCAGATGCGGGTGCTGGGTTCGGGTTCAGGTCCCGGACACCCTGCTGGACATCACCAAATGACTTCGCACTACTCTACCTCCTCTACACGCACCGTCAACAACGGCGGAGTGGTCACCTCGAACACTTCCACCACTCAGGAGTCGCGCCAGACTGTAGATGGTGTGACTACAGGCACCAAGAGCCACTCTTCCTCCTCTAGCACCAACAAACTCGGCCCTGGCGCGGACCATCAAATGCTCACCACAGCCGCACCCGTCGGTGCCGTCATTCCGGCTTCTCCCAACAGTGCCGGTGTCATGGACTTCCTCTCTAACGCCTACGAAGTTGGTGACGATGGCTTGGTGAGTTTGGTTTGACGCCTAAGCTTATCCCTCTTACTTTCAGAAAGTATGGCTGAATAAACTCAATCCCTCTATGGGTCACAAAAGCGCACTGATTTCTTTTAACTATAAGTGATTTATCAATATTAAATCTGTGAGTAAACAAAGACGCTCTTCCTTTGTTGATTAAACCTTTAAACCATCTACAGAGAACAAAATCTTTGTATGCAATTACTAATAAGAATAATTGATTTTACTTTTGTGCCACCTTTTATTCGAAGATGTACAAAACTTGCTAAACTTATGTATTGCAATCTTTCTGGTGAGGATACGTCAAGTTTGCATACATTTACTCATTCACAAAATCAGCTGCAACTAAACTGCTAGTAAATTGTTTGCGCACTTGCTTTCTAGGACAAATAGCAAAGCAAACTCCTTGGTTTATGACTATTCTTAGCCATTCATTCAAGTATTTATTGGAAACCAAGCCATTAATTCCGTTTCCAGCTAGTCGTAATTTGGAAAGTTGTAGTTACCTATCAAGGTTTCCGCAACTTATTTTAAACAAGTTCGATTTGAACCGGATAATTCTTTATTCGTTTTGTCGAGTCATTAACCGAAAAATCTTTGAATCATGTAATTCGTGACTCACGTTTGCATAAAGTACCACAGATGAGTCCTCAGATGACAACTCTTCTTATGGCATGTTTTAGCCTTTTGAGTTCATTCTTGTTAACAGCCAAACTTAAAGCGGCGTTACGAGCCATAAGCTTGTTGTAGATGTGTCTACGAAACAAAAACTCAGTTGCAATTTTAGCATCCAAGTTAGTCGACTTCGTGTGTAGTATCATTAAATTGTGCTCTGAAAGGGACTTGTCGAAGTCAAGTAACTGGAATTTCCTCCATTATATGAACATACTACTTTTTCAGTCTGAAAAATGTGTACATTCCAAGTAGAGGTAGAGGGTAACCTCATACGGAGCCATTTCCGGCGTAGTGCGCTGCCTCCCAGATGACTAATCGGCCCACTCTGCACAGTTAGCAGATGCCTATTAATCACCCATCTTAGGGAAGGGTGATTCACCAGACGAGTTGCATGTCTTCTGCAGGCAATGCACGGTCCATCCGCACACAGCAACTGTCTTGGCACTCTTGCGATTTAGGTCTCATGCGAGGAACCTACATCTGGTACTGATGGGATCTCAAAGTTCATGCAAGTTAATCATTACTGAAAACTTCAAAACAAGCTACAGTCTCCACCCATTCGTCTCTCTTAACCAAATCTTAGTTGTGAAGAGGACATTTCACTCTTAGGTATGAATGTTTTAATGCTGATCCGATTTTTGTCCTCACGTGCTGCAAAATGGCTAAAACGGATTCCAAAAACACTTGTCTGTTCATTCTGCGGTTGCCTTGTTGAAATGTAGGTTCACTTCAAGCTACGCTTCGATGCGAAGGACTTTGCTCCGGAGGACATTGACGTCACCACAGTGGGCAAGCGGTTGACTGTACATGCCAGTAAGTCGGTCAAGACGGCCACCTCTACCAGCACCCGCGAGTTTAGCCGCTCCGTCGATCTGCCACGCTCTATCGACCACGAAAAATTCCAGTGTTCTCTCACTGAGGTGAGGTTTTCAATTTTTTCTTCGTTTTTCAATTTCAGACTAGCCAAAAGATTCCACAATGCTTCATAAAGAGCTAATTTTACTTTTTCATTAACTGAAAAAAAAAATAGGGTTCATTGTTGGTTGTTTTAACTACTTTATTAGTTTTATTCCCTTTTGAGAAACGAAGATTATACTAGGCTAAATTATTCCTTGTTTATGCAAATTTTTAAAGACGTATACTTATAATGTAAAGTTAGTGCTGTTTTACCATCAGAGGTGACTTGAGTGTGTTTTGTGGTTCTTCCAAATAACGGTATACTTTCCTCATGAAACAGGATGGCGTACTTGTATTGGATGCTCCTGTCAAAGCCCCAGACTATGCCTCAATTACTTTCGACTCAGGTCACAACCTCGGTATCCGTCCGAAGGATTCGTCTGCTTTGAAACCCGCTGAAACACAAGTTACAAGCTCAAGTACGTTACTGAATCACTAGCTGCTACTGAAATGCAGTTAGTAAGCATACAACAACTACGCATTGTTGTGGAATTGCAGGCCTCAAGATTACAGGACAGTCAGGTCCAGTTATTTTGAATGACGGTACTGGTGGTCGAAAGATTCACCTGGAGGTGCCAGTTGAAGCTGGTTACTCGGCGGACGATCTCTGCGTTCGCATGGATGCCAATAAAATCTGTGTCTCAGGGAAGAAGGAGCGAAGCACCGACAGATCAACTTCGGGGTCCTGTTCCAAGAGTTCCGAGTTTTCGGAATTCACACGCACATTCGAGGTGCCAGAGACCATTGATCCGTTCACCGTCTCTGCCATTCTCAAGGACAATACTCTGGTTATTGAGGCGCCTCTTCTCTGCACCGTCTAGACACTTCTCATCCGCTTCCCTCTCAGCAATTCATCACAACCTCTTCATCACTGTAACGCAACTTATTTACGCACTAGCATTTAACGCACCCACATGCTTTTGATTGCTTCCTTCTCTTTTCCATCTCTCTCTCGCTATCCTTCAAACATTTTATCCATTTCTACGTTTCACGGCACTGCTTTTGGTCGGATCGGTTTCATCCTCTCAGTTAAAATTAATAAAATGTTGCCTCGTGTGCTACTCTGTTTAATCGAGGGCTTTACTAGATCAAATGTTCACTGTTAGCTTATTTGCTCTTATTTCGTTTGAGGCACTCATCAGAGCTAATCGTACTATCCTGTTGTCTTAATCGTTGCCAGTAATAGCAACACGCACTAGCCTTGATCAACAGGTCCGACTGTTCATAATCGTGTCACCTAAATGCTAAATCCGTTTGACATCAGCTTATTGCTTTCATCAGTTTGAAGTCACGTGAATGGTGTTTCTGAGTTGACATCAATTTGAAAATCATGAATGTCAATTAATTGCACTAATCCTTATTTTTTTGTCCCAAAGCCTCCCAATCCTACACTTTAAGCCGATAACTGCTAGCCTGTCAACTTCCGCAAACGAAAGAATGGCCATACTCAGCTAAACTACTTTTCATTTCACATTGGAATGCATTAGCCTCAACAGCTATTCCCGTATTCATGTCCAATCCGAATTAATGATAGCATCTTTTGATTAGATTCCTCATTTTTATGTAAATTGATAGGCTAAATGATTTGGCAATTAGGTTTCCAGAAGCTTCTTACAACAATTTAGCCTACATCTACCCCAAAAATATAGTGCATAAAGTGATTTTGTGTACCGCCATTCACAGTGGAAAAGTAATTGTTCAGAAG